AAAGTATAAATAAATTTATTTAACCCTTGTCCACCTACCACAAATTATTGTCACACAGCCACCTAGCATACGCCTGTGAGACCCCACAGTAAAATGACTTACGGTCATAAAAATTAACAAACAAAGATTTGGTTTTTTAATTTAAAGTCCGTTTACAACATATTGCATTATTTATTAAAAAAAATTATTATTATTTTTTATCTCAAATACTTGTCACTTATATCTAAGATAAACGTACTTGGAAAATGCGATAAACAAGAATTATTAATTGCAATAGGAGCTTCTTTTGATTTTAATGTTCATTAAACGGTAAACGTATAAATTTACTAAAATTTCAAATAAAAGCAAAAATTCAAAAAAAAACTGTACATAAAAAAACAAGTACATCTATATCTAGCCTTGACGAAAATCGGTGGCAAAAACATTCATTCTACGGGGCCTATGAGACATATGGGTGGGTGGTTAAGGGTTAAGCATATGAATACGTATAAATAAACTTTCGTTTTTACATATCTCATGAAAGTGTTACTCAACGCTTTGATGAATGAAGATATGTATGTATATAATCACCTATTTTAATTAATCATTGCATAATTATGACAGATAATTACATTTAAGTCAGAGTGTCGATCGGAAATAATTATCATAATTGTAAAAAAATAATGAAATCGTGACTTCTTGTAATTATCAATTTTTTATTACAAAACTATTAAAGCATAGCCATTGAAGTTTTTTCGCGAAAGAAAAATTGAAACTTCTGTCATTATTAAAAAAAAATAGTAGTGGGCCTAGAACGTTTGGACCGGTAACATCCAAATGAAAATTGTTTGTCAAGCATGAAAATGTGCTCCTCCAAAGGGGTCTCGCTATGCAGGTGATGTTTATGCGATATCAGTAGGTAACCCCTTCTCTTTCTACTACGTCCTTACTGTCCGGAAGGCAAATAGACGCAGCTTGCTTTAGTATTTGTCGGCCAATTCCCTTGCAGCTTGCCAACAATGTTTCAGGACGATTATCATTCCTGGACTTTGGCCTGTTTCTTACCAACCCAGTAACTAATTAGAAAAGAGGGGCATGCTTCATTGCAACACCAAGCTGATTCCAGTTAGCTTATGAGAGTCCGTTATCCACAATGGTTCTATCACTCACCTTTCCTGGCCTGTTGAGTGGCGACTTCTGCTTGAAGCAATTTTGGTGTTGGCTGAAGCTGAAATAGAACTTGGTTTCTACCGAGTTGCAAAAGGTTTTCTTTTAAATTTTGGAAATTCATATAGCACACCTCACCACTGAACAGATCCCTCAAACGTTTTTTTTTTTTGAAGTGAAACCTCCGCTAAGGTTGGTTGGGAGTAAATTGGCGAATTCAACAGATATTGCACACGGAAATAGTGCAACGGAAATGGTTGGAGCTGAAACAAGTGCTTCTTGAATGTATGCACATGGTAATAATTCAACAAAAACTTGCTAATAAGGGGTTAAAGCATAACACCTAGAAAAGGACCAATACAAGAATGGAGTAAAGGTGAGTACGTACATTAATATAGAAAAGGATAAAGACAAAGGTAAAAATAAAAACAAAACCAAAGATGCGTAAAGATGATGGCAAAAATGAAGACCAAGGTAAATTTAAATCTTTACTTTTATAAGGGCAAAGGTGAAGGGAAATATGTAGATGAAGAATATGATAAGCAAAAGTAAATAAATAAATATAAAGGAAAAGATGAGGATGAGGATACCGATAAAAGTATAGATAAAGATAGAAGGAAGAAGGAAGAAAGATTAAAATAAAGGTAATAATAAAGAAAAGGATATAGATAGAGACACAGAGACTCAATCTGGGAACCATTTTGAGATTTTCGGGATTCTCAGGACTTATCGATATAATTTATCGGTTTTTTACCGATATTTGTATGGATTTTGTTACCGAAATCTTTATCGATATTGTTGTTGATTTCGCTATCGATATTTTCTGAACTTGTCGATATAACAATTGATGTTTTTATCGATTTTGTTATCGATAATTTAGTGATTTTTTATCGATATTTTAAATGGTTTTATTATCGATATTGTTATGGATATTCTTATCGATTATAAATCGATTTTGTTATCAATTATTTATCGATTTTGTTATCGATTATTTATCGATTTTTTATCGATATTGTTATCAATTTTGTTATCGATATTATTATCGATTATTTGTCGATTTTGCTATCGATATTTTTATCAAATTTCTTATCAATATTTGTTATCGGTTTTATTATCGATTTTTTGTCGAATTTCTTATCGATATTTGTTATCGATTTTTGTATCGACTTTGTTGTGGGTTATTTATCGGTTTTGTTATCGATATTTTAATCGACAATTTTAGCGCTTTTCTAATCGAAATTTGTTATCGATTATTTATCGATATAGAAATTTTCACCGAATTGTCATCGATTTTGTTGTCGATATTTTTGTCGGTTTTGTTGTCGATATTTTGTTGGATGTTACTATCGATTTTGTTATCGACAGAGTATAGAGATAAAAATGAAGATAATGGAAAACAATAACATAAATGTTATTAGAACGAACAGGGGTAGAGGTAGGGATCTAGATAGAAAAAAGAGCACAAATATAACCTTAAGCAAAAGCAGATGTACGTATGTACAAATGTACATACATATGTGTGTATATTGGTTATGAGACAAAATAGATATGTAACGTAGGTTTCACTTCTCCAGCGTGCCCCGGCGCACTTACTTTTTTTATTCTTTGATGTATATACTACATTAGACCGGACTTACAAGAAAACAAAAAAAAGTTCGCCGCATACCCGTGGCTGTAAATTATTTTGCAAGACAATTTCGAAAAAAACTATTTTGGCTGAACCTTGGGGTCCTTTTTTTATATTTTTCAGTGACATCTACATTGGGCAATAGTTACAAACATTTGTTTAAATAGTACCTATTGTAATCAGGTTGCAACGTTAGGGTAAGATCTGGTGGGTATGTACTGGAACGGTATACTTGAGGTCAATGAACTTTGGGGGAAAAAAATTTCTCCTCGAGACAAGAACATCGATAAATCATACTTCAAGATCCAACTGTAAATGCCGAAGATATTATAAAGAATATAAATAGAAGACCCATAGACAGTCCTGGGTGACGCCGTATGCGCAGTACCCTCGAGTTAGTTAGCGTCGCGTATTCGTATACAAGAAGTTGAAGCCGAAAATAAAGCATAATGTAGCGTATTACATTTTAAGCGATTCATTAAGAAACAGTGACTAATTTTCACTTAATTTTCGCCTTAAACGCGTAGTCGGCGTCGCCCAAGCCTACCCATAGTTCAACCAAAAACAAATAAACAATTTTGAAATTACCTTGCGAAAGTATGTGAGACTTACGGGTGTACCGCGAACTTTTTTTCTGGTATGGCCTAATGGAATACAATATACACAGTATACTTATCGCAAGTCAATTATGTTATCGATATTATAATCAACATATTTTCTGATATTATTATCCATATCATAATCGATAAATGTATGTTATTAGCGACATTGATAAATTTAGTTATCGATATTGTTTACAATATTATGAGATATGTTACTATCATTATTTTTATCGATATATACATAAGTATGTACAAATTAGATTAGTTTGTATATCGCAAACGATTACTTTGTTAATCGATGTCTGTATTAAGATCGACTAAAACCTAGCTATATCCTCTCTTTCCATAATATCCTTCTCTTTCCAATTACATTCCAGGACGCTAAAAATGAACTGATTTCAAAGCCTCAGCATGGGAGAATTTTACTCTACTATAAGTAAAGATGCTTTCAATATGTTTTCGACATGGCAGAGAACACTGTTTTTCTTTTTTAATTTAATAATTTAATGTCAGGCCAGCTGATACCCTTGATATTAACTTTAATATAAAAAAAAATATTATCTTCATCACTTCACATTACCTGAACATAAAAAAGAAACGCCAGAACTAGCATCTTTTAGTACTCACCTTCACCTTTCATTTTCGTCATTGCTTTCTGTTGTTCTTATTATCGAGTCAGTTTATTTATGGTAGTCCTCGGTGACTTTTTTATTGCCTTGCTTCAAGTGAAACGAACTCATTCGCCGTCCAACCGCCACAACGTGTATAGCGCGCGAATCGATTTAGTCAACCTACACGCCATAAACCAACACCAAAATCGCACGAATGTCACAGCTGTGTGTGACAAAAAGCAAGAAGAAGCAGAAGAAGCAACAGCCAGTGCCCAAACAAAGTCAACTTCTTGGATGTCAATTCTGTGTTGGCTTCCAATAATTTACGATGCAAAGTGGATTAGCATTTTTTAGCCGAACGTGTGTAATTTGCTTTTGATCGACTTGCACGCAACACTTGCTTTGCTATATTCGATGCTAAATTAGTTCGATATTTATTTCAATTGAGGCTGTTCTAACATTTCAGAAAAAAAAAAATTTGCTCAACTCGTGTGTGTATCGATTCGCCGGCGAGTTGTTGCTTCTAGGCGACTTCTTCTTCTTGCTCATTTTTTATTTTTATTTTTGCTTTTGCTTTATCACTGCTGCTCTTATTGGCATATTTTATTGTACATGTATTTCATGTGTTGCCTATTTTCGGGAAAAAAGTTAGAAAACTTCTTTCTTCTTCGACGAAGCGCGTATTTTATGATTTCGATTTTATTGTTTGTGTATTTTCTTTTAGTCGTATATAAAGCTATTGCGCAGCGCATTTTGATGCGCAGTTGTCGGCTTTGGACAGTTCCGAAAAAACGTTTGCACCGATTTCGAGTTTGATACTGGTAGACAAGAAGCCGACGGGCAGGCCAAGTTAACAAATCAAACAACGCAACGAAACGAACGCACACAGCAGCCAACAATCGTCAGCCAACAGCAAACAAAAGACTTAAGCGACAAACTTGCCAGCACAAAAGTAATAAATCAAAGCCGGCAAAGTCTAGCAGTGTGCTAAGCGAAACTATCGTTTAGCTCAAAATGTTACGAATATTTGTGCTGTTGGCGCTGCTCTATGCAGCCGCGTGCGTGACCAACGCCAGCCCTGTGTCCGATTCCGTGTCCACCAAAGCACCAGCAACGCACGCTGACGACGAAGTGCAGATTGTTAAATATTCCAATGAAAATGTCGGCGCTAACGGCTATAATTTTGCGTATGTACACAAACATAAAATAAATTAGAGTTTAATATTTTGATTTTACTAATTAAATTCTTTCAATTTCATTATCTCTTTCCCTCCCTCCCACCGGCATGCATACGCAACAGTTTTGAAACCAGTGATGGCGTGTCACGCAAGGAAACGGCTACTGTCAAACACGCCGGTGCGATATCGGTCGAGGGCACCGTCAGCTGGACCGGGCCGGATGGTGTGCAATATACATTGAATTATGTCGCCGATGAGCACGGTTTCCAGCCGCAAGGTACACATTTGCCGGTGGGACCAGAGCCAGCGACTTGATTTTTAATTAGGTTGTAGCTGCTTACATACATACATATATATGTGGCGATGTATATGAAAAAGAGTTAGAGAATTTAAATGAATTGTGATGTTAAATTTTAGTTCAATTGTATTTCTTAAGTAATTTGCATTTGCTCTTGCATGAGTCTAGTCGTAAATAAATAAAAAGAGCTACAATGAAAAATTTGCTTTATTATAAAGTAGCTTTTGCCCGCAGCTTCGCCTGCGTGATGTTTGGTTTAACGTAATTCTTTTAAATGTAACAAAGAGTATAACAACTTTTATTAATATAAGTTAAGGAATTAAAATTAGAGATCCGGCTCTCGATTCACGCTAGAAGCCAACGTAGCGTTATCCGTGGGAGAATCAAGGAGTGCTCAGATGTATGCCTGCAACTTTAAGTGTTTGTCCTTGACTTTTACTAATCGTTATCGGGAGGGCTACTTTTAACGGAAACTACAAAAGTTTAAACTGAAATGGCATATAATGGTATCAATACTGATTGTCCTTTGGCCCCGCCAGGGATGTTGGTGGCTTACACGATATGTCCTTTCTGCTCCGTACTCGAGGTGCGCCCAGGTTAAGTATCAATATGACTGACACCCCAACCCTTAATGCCAGTTTGTTGCACGACACCCCTGACAATTCTTAAGAATTAAGATATTCTATAGGATATGTTGTGGCAACTTCATTTGCCATCACTGTATCAACAGACATGTATGTGGTCGCCTTAGTAGGCACTTTTCCATGCGGCCCTCACCGATCCCAATGAGGTCTTGAGTAAGGAGTTCGGACTCTCTATAACTGGATATTTGTTGTGAGGTTCAATATTTCGACCTTTGCCCACAGTGGCGGAGTATCAGAGGGAGTTTACGCGCCGTTGGTATCCCTGAGGAGGCAACAGCTAGTGCAACATTTTTATTCTTGCGCAACTGTGCCAGTAGCAAATTCAGCAGAAATGTCTTGTCACCAGTTCCCTCTGGTGGGTCCAGGAGATAAAAGCCCCCTTCTCCGCTCTTCCACAATTTTATGAGAAAATTACCCTTCGGTGACTTGAGCCGCGAAGTTCGTGATGATATAATTTAACTCCCGTTCGTCCGTTTATCCACAATTAGTCTCAGAGCTTTGTCATCATGTGCTATTTCTTGAAACCTGTGGGCGATGTTTTATACTTTTCATACAATTGCAGGGGTTTGAAGTCCACAAAGCTTACTAAAACCTCACCCGTTTGACACCTATATTTAAATATTTCATTTGACTTGTCGATTAAAATGATTTTAAATTGCTAAACGGGCAGCAACTATTTCAAAAATATTTTCAAAAGAAAGCTTGCTTAACGACAGAAGGTCATTTGATACCCAAATTAAAAATTTCCTTAAACTTGTTAAGTATATTTATTATAAATTTCTTAACAGGTGGCAACACTCTCCAAAAATATTTAGAAATAAACTTGTCTGAAACCTTTCTAATTTGCTACTCATACTAAAATATTTGATTTAAATAGTTAACTCAATTTATTTTATGTTTATTAAAAGGTGGCAACTCTCTCCAAAAATATTTTCGAACCTTTTGTTTCGCACCCACATTGTTGTAATTGTTCATATAACTTAAGCAATAGTTGAATTTAACTTTTGAAAAAGTGGCAACCTCTTCATAAAAATATGCCGTATGTTAATCCAGGTCAAAGCCTATAAGTGTGCCAAATTTCATTGAGATATGTCAATCCAGCCGTGTTGGCATTAAATAGCAACAAACATATACCCTCACTAACTCACAAACTTTAACATTTATATCTAATATTGTAGGTTTGATTAAAATGATTTTAAATTTATAAACGGGTGGCAACTTTCTTTAAAAATATTACCGAAATAAAGCTTTCTTAACCCTTTCTCGTTTGATAACCATATTAAAACATTTCGTTTAACCTTTTAAGTAAATTGTATTTGAATTTCTTAACAGCTGGCAACCATCTTTTAGAAATGAATTTGTCTTAAACCTTTCTCATTTGATACCCGTACTAAAATATTTGATTGAAATATTAAATTAAATTGAATTTAAGTTTGTGGAAAGGTGGCAAATTTCTTCAAAAATATTTTTGAAATAAATCGTATTTAAACTGCTTTTGTTTGACATCCACACTGTTGTAACATTTTATCTAACTGTGATAAATATGTAGTTGATTTTTACTTTTGAAAAAAGTGCCAACCCCCTTCAAAAAATATCCTTTATATTAGTCCTGGTCATCATAGCCTATAAGTGCGCTCATCTCATGATGGATGAAGTTACTTGGATTTTCAGGCTTAGGGCCATTGAACTACATAGATATGTTGTTATATCCCGCATACTTCGAGAAATAGGGGCAGGACATCGCCTCTAAATACTCAGCTAGTCGAATATTGAGAAGTACGAGAAAAAGGCATCAGTTGCCCTATGCTTCTGTAAAAGCGCTTTAGATGTTGCGACGTTCTACTGGCTATATGAAACATTAATCAATTTGGTTGTAAGGGATCATTTCCTAGTGGTAATCATTAAAAACAGTCTACATTGACTAAATAGGTAATGCAGGTGCAAACAGCTACTCTTGTTGGAATCAGTAGGGCACTTTGGATACACCAATTATAACATTTAACACTACCCTTAGCGTCCAAAATGTAGACATCCTTCTCTACACACAGCCTCGAGAACATTTTCACGGATGCTTCGAAGCTGGTTGGTAGAGTTGGAGGAGAAGTGCTTTGCATTATTCTCAAGCTTAGACTAACGAGCGTTGGGCAGAAATATTTCTACCCGGTAGTTGACCTTGAGTTAACTAAGGAGCTCCTTTAGCTGGCTAAGCGACGACTTTTGCTTCTGATAGGTGCGAATTTAAATAGTTTCGGTCCATATTACCGCAACTTTTTTAAGAACGCCCAGCTTTTGCAAGTCTAAGGTTTTAAAATCTAGGCTCGTACATCAGCTGCCTCCAGAACTTCTTTTTGAGCACCGAACACTTGAACTAACCTACCTACAGTTACCGAACCGGAAAAATCGATTAAGTGGTAACACAGTAGAGAATATATGAAATGTCTAACACACAGCTCGCGCAGGAGTGCCACCTAACTTATTTATGCCTGCTACTAGAGACCGCATTTCATTTCATTTGCGTTACTTTTAATTAAATAGCAACTGCTTTTCACTGAGTGCGAATGCGTTGTGAAGTTTTCAGTTGAATGTATTAGTATTTAAGTACATAAATATGTAGAAATATTTTTGTTGTTGTTGTTAACATGCTTACAAGCGCATACAACAGTACAAATAATTGCATGAACCTCTTTTTATAGTTTACGTTTACATACTAATAAACATACACACACACACACACACACACATATTTATTGCAGGCTAAAATCAGCACACGATTATAAGCTTTGCAAAATTTATCTATGTATTTGTGTTGTTTACTTTGATAGAAGTAGGTTAGCATACAAATGGATGCTGCTTGCGACTATTTATTGCCGGCGGGCTGTCTGCGTGATATGCGTGGACTGAGTGACTAACTGACTGTGGCACCTCAAGTTTGGTACAAAGCAAAATGCAATAAGAAAAATCAAACTCATTCGACCAATTGGCACAGCAGTTGGGGCCACAGTTGATGAGTGATCGTCTGCTGGTGGTGTTGCTGCTGCCCAACCTATCTGACCGCCACAAATAAGCAAATTCACTTCGCACATTTGCCAACGTCTATGCGGTTAGTTTTCGTTCGATCACTCATCAAGTGCAAACAATAACTTGGCCTTTTGACATCTAGCAAATAAACTGCAGAAAACATTTCGAATGCATGCGCCGGCGTAAGTGTGTGTGTGTGTGTGTGTGATGCGAATATTACGATATATGTACATATGTATCTACAAAGTTAGTTCGTTGCGCACATCAAAGCTGAGTCATTGGTGGGCATTTGAAGTCAAAATTATGTTTTGAATTTTTTTTCTTGAACTGCGGTAATTTTGGAAAAATTTTTACATATATTCATTAATAAGGGTTGCCGTTACTGCGTTGGCGTAATGGCATGTTTTTGTAATCCGTAGTTAGCTTAAACTTATTAAAATAATAAGCTTAAAATATTTGTTTTTGTAATTGGGCCAGTCAACTGGGTTATGCAAAATTTTGCATATCTCAAAAACTATTATAGGCACAAAAATGGTTCTGGCCACGTTTAAAGGTGATATTTAGGTATATAAAAATTTTGGACAAAGAGAAAAATTTACAGAATTTTGAAATTAAAAAAAAAAAAAAAAAAAAGAAAAAAACTTGAAAAAAATTTTTGAAAATTTTTTTACACAAAACCTACAATTCATCTTAAATGATCCTAAAATTTTCAAGAAAGTGTGTTTATTAAAGATATGCATTTTTAACTTTAAAAAAAAAAAATTTTGCAAAACTCTCAATAAAATTATGTTAAGGAATTTTTTTCAATTTATATTTATTTTTAATTCAGAGTTTAAAATAAATTATTTTTTTACGAAGTGCATCATATCTTAAAAAAAACACTTTCTTGGAAGTTCCAGAATCATTTGAGATCAGTTATAAGTATTGAATAAAGAATTTAGTCAGTAAGTTATATAAGTCTTTTACGATATTTTTAAATTTCATAATTTTATATATTTTGATTTACACCGAACGAGAACTATTTTTGTAACTGTAATAATTTTTGAGGTATTCCTAAAAAACTTGCAAAATTGGAAAAATTTAAAAATTTTGAAAATTTCAAATTTTTTTTTTTCATTTGGTACTTATATGATAAAAGTTAGGGCCTTCGCCCAGCGCTCGCTGAGCTGATTTTAAAAGTCCATCTGTTTGAGAACAGTTCCAAGATTATAATAGGAACTTCTATGCTCTCCCAGCCAGGAAATTCCGCACCTCGGTCTGTATTCGGCAGAAGACACACGAATAGTCTGTTTAATTATATTTCAGGTCGTGTATTACCTGTTTTGTCTTAGCCGCAAATTAAGTTAACTATACCG